AGAATACAGGTAGATGCATCAACGCTTGGGAGCATTGATATGTCAAAAAAATTTAAATGTTCTTTAAAATATAAGTAGATTTTAATATGTTTTCTTATACGACGTCATTCGGAGGTTATTATAATTCATGTTTTTCAACAATTTTTGCAAATTTAAATAATTTTTCATTCAACATTTTCAATTCCAGCTGTGTCGATGCGTCTACCTATATTCTTCTACCATGCGACTACCTATATTCTTCTACAATGGTCAATACTAATGTCGTACAAATGCTGTACACAGTGATGCTTTTCGTTAGTCTGTAGACTCCACAACGGATTTAAATTAAATCCGGCCATGAGATATATTTTTGTACAGTAAATTCGTTTGAATAACTACGGATAAGGCTATAAATCCTGAAATAGATCTGAACGGGCAATTAGTAGAAATCCAATCAAATTCAATCCGCCGGTCAGGTGCAACATGTTTATTTAAGTTGCTCAAGCGAAACGAAAAAGTTGTGAGCAAACACGAATCGATTGTTCGTAACGGGAGCACCATCTATGAGGAATATTATCGGTTTGATACTTCCTTGTAATGTGAGTCATTAGATTTGATTAAAACACAAGAAATCGAAATGGAGTTTTTTATGTATTAGACTTTGGTGATTTATTTAAAAAAAAAACGAAATCACTAACTTATAATAAAGAAACGTATCGATGGTATTTAGTAAAACGGAAATGATTGAATATTTCGTTGATTTTACAATATCGGTTAAGATATTTTACACAAAACTTCGACCTTCTCGTTTACCAGATATGGTCAATCCCACGGCAGCGGGTTCTACGATACCGGATTGACCCGAAACAACAAGTTTCCTGTTTCGGCCAGCGGCTGCCAACCCAGTATGTACATGTTTGTGTTTGTTTATTTTTCTGCATTGGGAGCAGCATATCCCGGAATGCTTGCTCCGGATTTTATTGGTCCGTGCCGGGATTGAGGAAAACCCCGGACCTTGGTTCTGCTCGGTTTGTCAGAACGTCATCCACCACAGATCTGTCTCGGTGCGATGTAATGGATGCAGAGAGTGGGTGCACTTCAAGAACTGTTCCGGATTAAGGCGTTTGCGAGACTACAGCGAAAGGGATTATGTTGCGACTTGCTGCAGTAACGTAGTCCCCAGCGAGTCCTCTTCTTCGTCGTCCTCGTCAGAGACGTCGTCGGAGTATGGCACTCCACCGCAGTCTCCAGAACAGCAACCAACACCGCAGCACCTAACGCCACATGTTGCTGTTCCAACTCCGGATTGTGCATCATTCTTGCAATTCAATTGCAACGGACTTCGAGGCAAAATAGATGAGATAGTGGAATTTATGAGTCGGAGGAATATTAAGATCGCAGCGGTGCAGGAAACCAAGCTGAATGAAAATTGCAGCCTACAACGTTGTTATGGTTACAACGTACTAAGGAAGGATCGCACCAGAAGTGGAGGTGGGGGATTAGCGTTCCTGTTACACCATTCTGTTCAGTACAGACCTATCTCGCTTGAGCTAGTCTCTAGTGACCCATACATGGAATGTATGGGGGTAGCAGTCAAGTGTGGAACTGCCGAGGTAGAGGTGCTTAATGTGTATATCCCGCCGATTAATAGCTGTGAACCACGTTATTTGCCTGATATTAGCCCATTATTGGTAGGCAATAACCGCCTGGTACTAGGGGATTTTAATGCCCACCATGAGTTGTGGCATTCCGTCCTAGGTAATGACCAGAGGGGATCAGCGCTGGCAGAGCAGATTGACTGCTCCACATTCTGCACGGTTAACGAGGATGCCCCCACCCGAATAAGAGGAGAGTGTCACAGTTCGCCAGATTTAACCATAGTGTCACCCGGTCTGATAAATGACGTGACTTGGCAACCCGTCATTTCTCTTGGCTCAGACCATCTCCCGATAATCGTCTCCATAAGCAGGTCGCCCGATTTCATAACCTCTGAACGCCGCACTTTCCTTAACCATGGGAAAGCTCACTGGCCAGAGTTCAGAGAATTCACCAACCGCCGCTTCAGAGAACTGCCCAACCCTTCTGATGTTCGGGTAGCAGAAAGGATTTTCCGAAACATCATCAGAGCTGCAGCCGCTCGCTATATACCTGCTGGTCGAATACCCGAGATAAGACCAAACTTCCCAGCAGAGGCAGCGGGATTAGCAAACGAGCGTGATGATCTCCGTCGTACCAACCCTACTGATCCTAGAATCAGTGATTTGACAGTGGAAGTCAACCGGTTGGTGCAGGAGCATAAGAGGAAAAAGTGGCTAGACCATCTGAAGTGCTGCAACATTGGAACCGATATGAGTAAGCTGTGGGTAACGGTTAAGTCGCTCTCGAACCCTGGAAAAAAGGATGATAGGACCTCAGTCACTTTTAACGACGTAACGGTGACTGATCCGAAGAGGTGCGCGGAATATTTTAACCGACAATTTGTCGAGCACCCCGAGAGTGATAGGGCGAAGCGAAGAGTACTACGTCGTATCAGATCTCTTCCCGCCGAGGAGGAACCACCACAGTTTACGATGGGTGATGTTGCAAATGTCATCCGTAACGCTAAGTCATCCAAAGCGTTGGGCCCGGACGGAATCTCAATGGTAATGTTGAAGCAGCTGGATACGCCGGGAGTCGAGTACTTAACAAAAGTTCTCAATTTGTCGCTAGCCACCTACATAGTGCCCGAAACCTGGAAAATGGGCCGGGTGGTCCCGCTACTGAAGCCAGGCAAGGATGCCAGTAAAGGCGAATCGTACAGGCCGATTTCGCTTTTGTCGCCAGTAGCAAAGACTCTTGAGGCTTTACTCCTCCCCAGCATTAGAGGAAGCTATGCAGTTGCCAACCACCAGCATGGATTCCGTCCACAACATAGTACCACAACAGCATTACACGCCATTTCCACACATATTAGTAGAGGACTAAACCAGAACAGGCCGTGTGACAGAACAGTGTTGGTAGCCCTTGACCTATCAAAGGCATTTGATACGGTCAATCATGCCACACTGTTTGAGGACGTACAGAGAACTACCCTCCGGCCAAGTTTGAAACGTTGGATAATCAACTATATGTGTGGACGCCAGTCGTACGTGGAATTCCGGAACAAGAAGTCCAAAGCCCGTAGAGTGAAACAGGGAGTTCCCCAAGGTGGGGTGATATCTCCGGAACTGTTTAACCTCTACCTTTCCGGAATTCCTCGCCCTCCAGACGGCATTGAGATCGTAACGTATGCGGATGATTGTACGATCATGGCGTCGGGTCCAGTGGTCGATGACATATGCGAAAGGTTGAACCCCTATCTCGCGGAGCTTGCCGCATACTTCCACGCGAGGAATATGAAAATATCCGCCACGAAATCAACGGCCACACTCTTTACCACATGGTCTGCGGAGATGAGAACACAGCTGAATGTTCAGGTCGAGGGGAATTTAATACCGACCACGAACTACCCCAAGATTCTTGGGGTAACGTTCGACAGCATGTTCAAGTCGTCCGCGCAAGCCACAGCTATCTGCGACAAGATGAAAAGTAGGAACAAGGTCCTCAAGGCGCTAGCCGGCAGCTCTTGGGGTGCGGACAAAGAAACCTTGTTGACCTCTTATAACGCGATAGGTCGGTCTGTGGTCAACTATGCGGCTCCAGTGTGGTCTGCGAATACTAGTGCTACGCAGTGGAAGAATATCCAGACCTGCCAGAACGCTGCCCTGAGAACTGCGACAGGGTGCCTCCTCATGACACCAGTGGACCATCTACATGAGGAGGCGAAAGTCCTTCCCTTACGTCAGCATAATCATATGCTTTCGTTGCAGTACCTGCTTGGGTGTTACCGTGAGAGCCATCCCAACCATCACATGGTGGATAACTCTCCCCCACCCAGGCGTGTCAGGAAGGACATACATGATCTAGAGAGGGAGGTCCAGCGCTACAAGAGAGAGCCTCTAGATCAAGAAGCCTATCAGGCAGGTCTGAGTGGCATTCACACCGATGCAGTCGCGGATGCTATTAGCAGTTACAAAGTGAATGCCGTCCTCGGAGTCCACCCCCCATCCATTGCAGCCGAAGAACGTCAGCTGCCTAGACAAACCAGGGTAGTTTTGGCGCAATTACGTTCAGGATGGTGTAGTCGCCTCAATTCGTATTGGGCACGAATTGATGAAGATGTGCGTGACGCCTGCCCGGCGTGTGATACAGGCCCGCACAATACGCTACACCTTTTTAATTGCTCAGCCAAACCTACCCAACTCACTCCAGAGGATCTCTGGCTACAGCCCGTTAAAGTAGCCGAATTTCTAAACCTGGAGCTGGAACCAGATTAGCAGAACACAAACACACACATGTACTACTGCTACAACAACAACAACCAGATATGGTGGAAGAATACACTTGGTTACACTCTCAAATGTCCTTCCATTTTAAATATTGTAAAAGTCAAACTGTGCCCACATGATTGAATGGTTGAATAAACCATTATGCTGCACAAACTCGATTGAAAGAAACAAATCAAATTGCAAAACTAGTAGATTCTTGCAGGTTCAGGAACAAGGCATTCAATTCGCCTATTCAATCAACTCACGTCAAAATTTGTCTACATTTTGCTTAAAGTTTGTTTAAATTTCGTATTGTGATTCTATTCACAATAAGTGAGAGATTTTGCATGTGAACGTACTGTATCATGCCCTGAAGACAATGTGTTCTAACGATAGATTTGACAATCCTGTTGTAACGGGCTGTTTTTAGGGACGTATAAGCCGTTTTAATATATCTAATTTTGTATTGGAACGATGCGATTTTCTATAATAACTCGCTCTACTCTCCTGACATAAACGTATTCATAAATACTTCAAAATGCAGAAGCAGACTACATCGCACATTATATCAAACGTTCATAGTGTACAAATAAACTATAAATTATCCAACGAAACTATCGGAACTACCACAAAAAGTTGGCAACAATATAATCGATTGTCTGATTTCTAACCAACGAGAAAGTCGACTTTTCATTTTATCGATAGTTGAAAGTGGACAAAAAATTTGTTTTTTTTTCTCTCAGTTTAGTTATTATTTTGTACAATTGGCATAATCAATAAACAGCAAGTGGTGTTTTCGCGATATAAAGGCGACGTCATTGTAATTACATATGTAGTTGTTGGGGCTACTTGCTGATATTGGTTCACCTTGATAGGGGTAGTGGAAATATTACCATTTACTTCGTCTAACTTATCGGGCATATCCAACTTCACCCACTGACATTACATCAAAATGAAGAAGATTTTTTCTAAATTCGACAAAAATGAAAAGCTTGAGTCACATCACAACTCCACAAAGGAAGTAAATAGCTTTGTTGGGAAAGTGTTTACTGTTGGACGTGTCACGGTTACTATAGAGGATGTTCTGGCGGAAGGTAAGTGCATTTGATCCTATTTTACGATTCAATGCATTGTACAGACAACGCTAATCTGTACAATGGGTCATAATGTATTTTTTTAAAGCATGAAATCACTGCTTCCAAGTCATTTTAGCGTGTCACTCCAAAAGACACCCATAAATTCTGGACAATTAAATGATACGTATTTTCATATCATCACACACATTTATATGTGTGTTAGTAATGTTGTATGGGGCACTTAAGACCCAGGTATTATGCTTTTGTTCTGTAGATATCACAATTACAGCTGATTATGTAGGGCTTGTTTGGCGAATGAATGTATGACCAGATTGTAGCAATAACTCCAAGTGGTAAAGTTGCAATCAGAGTTCTGTCCATTTTCAAATAACATATTAATCATCAGATGTCCTAGATTTGCAGTTTTAGAAAGCTGGAATGTGAATAAATTGCCTTTAAACCTACATTCAATATTGTAAGAAAATTTTAGAAGATTTTTTTGCGAATAGTGTGTGTTACCAATTTTGTCTGTGACACTTAAGTCACAGACTTTAAAATTTTGTGGTTTAAGTATCAGAATTACAGCTGTATATGCAGAGCTTTACTGGCTGATGACTGGGTAAGTTACCCTAACCCTGTGTTTAAAAAAGGCAGTTCAGTTCATTTTTTACCAAAAGAACGTTGCTTGATCGAATGACATAGGCGACCAGCTAGTTGCTAGAATAATCACAAAACTTTGATGAACATTTTTCAAATCTTAAAACATCTTCAAACTCTAAAATAAGTACGTCGTGCCTGCCGTGTTAGAGACAGCAGCGGCCCTAATAGGTTTTTTTTAATGATGACGATATAAAATCATTTATATGTTGATACTGGGATGATTGGCATATTCCTTTGAAATTTTCTGTCTGCCTAATAACTTTGAGCTGTACTAACTCAATCCCACGACAAGCCTTTTTAGCCTTATTACATGACATTTTGCTGATGTTAGCCAAACTGATACTCCATAAAATATAAATAGTTGGAAAATTTCTTTGAATATAAGTTTTGAACAACGCTCTCTCACGAAGGAGATTCAAAAATTCAGCTGCCTTGATCGGCTGTAACCAGAGGTATTTCGGAGTGTGTGAGGTAGGTTAGACCGGGGAATTGAGAAAGTGCAGCGTATTGTGCGGACCTGTATCACACGTCGACCAGACGTTGTTGCTGTTATTGTAGCAGTAGTAAATGTGGATGTTTGTATTCTGCTAATCTGGTTCAAGCTTTAGGTTTTACAATTCGACTACCTTAACGGGCGTAGCACTTATATTCGCAGACCACATTGGGGCCGCATAGCTGATCACAGACCGACCTATGTAAGAGATCGACAAGGTCTCCTTGTCCGTACCCCAAGTGCTGCCAGCTAGCGCCTTAAGGACCTTGTTCATACTTTTCATCTTGTCGCAGATTGCTGCTGTCGCGGGCGACTTAAGCATGCTGTGGAATGTGACCCCTAGGATCTTGGGGTAGCTCGTGGTCGGTTTTATATTACTCTCGACCTGCAATGCAGTGGATGGTGGGTGGACTTCGAGAAAGGCATTCACAGTACACCGGTTGATGGCATCACTAACTGCTTCCGCATGTCTCGAATTTTATTTAAAGGTTGGGATGTGCTTTGTTCCTTTCTAAACCCGAATTGTTGTGGAGGAATTGTATTGTATAGCTTGATAATCAAAATGATTTTTATACCCTCCATCATTCTATGGATGGTATATTAACTTTGTCATTCCGTTTGTAACTCCTCGAAATACTCATGTCAGACCCAACAAAGTATATATATTCTTGATCAGCGTAAAATTCTAAAACGATTTAGCGATGTCCGTCTGTCTATATGTCTGTTGTAATCACGCTATCTTTCGGATGAATTGAGATAGATGGCTAAAATTTTGCACACATGTTTATTTTACCAGTTGGTAGGTTAAGTTCGTAATTGGGTATTAGGTCCACGTTTTCATATAGCCCCCATATAACGGTACCTCCCGATATTCGGTATTTTAATGATTTTAGCGACATTATTCACCGAAATTGTTTCAAATTTGGTATTTAAAGTTCAAAATGGATACTACATCCTAAGACAGAAAATAGTCTGTGCAAGTCCACGTCTTCATATAGCCTCCATATAACGGTACCTCCCGATATTCGGTATTTTAATGAATTTATCGACATTATTGACCGGAATTGTTTCAAATTTGGTATTTGAAGTTCGAATTGGATACTTCACCCTAAGACAGAAAATTGTCTGTGCAGGTCCACGTCTTCGTATAGCCCCCATATAACGGTATCCGCCTATATTCGGTATTTTGATGATTTTAGCGACATTATTCACCGGAATTGTTTCAAATTTGGTATTTGAAGTTCGAATTGGATACTATACCCTAAGACAGAAAATTGTCTATGCTGGTTCAGGTCTTCGTATAGGCCTCATATATCAGTACATCCCTATATTCGGTATTTTGACGATTTTAGGTACAATACCCACCGAAATTGTTTGAGGTGTGGCTGTGTTGTGGAGGAATTGTATTGTATAGCTTGATAATCAAAATGATTTTTATACCCTCCACCATACTATGGAGGGTATATTAACTTTGTCATTCCGTTTGTAACTCCTCGAAATACTCATGTCAGACCCAACAAAGTATATATATTCTTGATCAGCGTAAAATTCTAAAACGATCTAGCCATGTCCGTCTGTCTGTTTAATTTAATGATTTTAGCGACATTATTCACCGGAATTGTTTCAAATTTGGTATTTAAAGTTCGAAATGGATACTACACCCTAAGACAGAAAATTGTCTGTGCAAGTCCATGTCCACGTCTTCATATAGCCTCCATTTGTAATGATTTTAGCGACATTATTCACCGGAATTGTTTCAAATTTGGTATTTAAAGTTCGAAATGGATACTACATCCTAAGACAGAAAATTGTCTGTGCAAGTCCACGCCTCCATATGACGGTACCTCCCGATATTCGGTATTTTAATGAATTTAGCGACATTATTCACCGGAATTGTTTCAAATTTGGTATTTGAAGTTCGAATTGGATACTACACCCTAAGACAGAAAATTGTCTGTGCAGGAAGATAAATCAAGATCGTTGGTTCATTACAGAAATAATTTTTTTAATTACTACAATCATAATTTTTTGTTGCGTGTGCCGACACTTTTGCGTCACTTCCATTAGGTAAAAAAGTAAAGTGATATTTTCCGCTCGCAGGATTACGAAACAAAAACACGTCCTATAATCTGAACATCGGTTTTGTTTCGTGTCGTATTATACAGAGTGGGATAAAAAAGCTGCAGCAAAGTCAAACGTATTAATTTTTATTTTTTTAATCTTTATTGAATGAAGGCAAAAAATGTTGGAAATAGCATAAAATTTTAGAGTAAGTTGAGATTCGTTTGAATTGGTCACCTTTGCCACGAATTATGGCCTTCAAACGGCCAATGAAACCGGCACACGCTGCCCGAATGTTGCTCTGCGTTATTTTGGGCAATACCCGGAGAAGCGCTTGCTTGAGGTGATCGACACTTTGGTATTTTTAGTGCCAAGCTTGCTTTCCAAAATACTCCAGACAAAATAGTCCAACGGATTGGTATCCGGAGACTTTGGTGACCATTGTGCGATGGAAATGAAGAAAGGAACCTCATTTTGTAACCATTCCTGGGTGGCGCGTGCTGAGTCTTGTTGGAATGTCCAAGGTCTGTGGCCAAAATGTTTGTGTGCCCAAGGCTTTAATACACCCTCCAGAATATTTTCGCGGTAACATTCGGCGTTTATTCTGATGCCACGGTCGATTAATACGAGCGGAGAGCGACCATCGGCTGTTATGGCGACCCACACCATGACAATGGCCGGCGCTTAAGTTTTGGTGGCAGACCAAAGGTGCACATTTTCAGCTGACCTCTTTGGCAAGTAAACACGATCGTTTTGTTTGTTTAAAAAACTGCTGAACAACGAATGTTTTCTCATCGGAGAAAACCAAATTTCGCAGTTCACAACCTTCGGCCAAGCGAAGCAACTCTTTAGCTCTATTGAGTTTATTTTCTTTCTTTTGCGGTGTAGGTTCTTGCAGTTTTTGGAATTTCAATGGCTTATCCCGAGCTCATTTTTCAATATTTGCCGAATGGAATATTGCGATATGTTCAGCTCACGAGCCATTTTTCGGCTACTGCGACGGGGGTTTCGATCAAGTCGCTTCTTTACTTTTCGAACCATTTCTGCGGATGTTACTGTTTTCTTCCGTCCACTTCCTTGATGTCGGTCTACGCTACCAGTATCATGGTCACGAGCGATGGTACGAGACACGAAAGATTTATTCACATTTAAATGCTGGAGTGCTCTAACGATAGCCACTTGTGATTTTCCAGCCAAATATAAAGAAATCACACTATCACGCTTGAATTTCATCACGAATAACCTTTTTTTCTGAAAATTCTCATCAAAATGTTTTGGTACGCTCGTAAACAATATAATGAGCTGTCACTGGAATAATTTTTACAGCTGTCGAACGAGTAGCTTAGAAATGACAGCAGTCTGAAGTTGGTTGTAGTTTTTTATCTCACCCTGGTGTAGGGTATTATGATTTTGTGCATTTGTTTGAAACAGTCAAAAGGAAGCAAGATATGTTCTACATAGAATCACATTCTGAGTCGATTTATGCATGTCCCTCCGTCTGTCTATATACTTTTGTAAACAAAGTACAGGTCGCATTTTATTTATTTATTTATTTTCAATTTGTACAGAAACCTAGCCGACAGGGCCATGGACGGTTCAAAAAACTTCTATACATGACTAGTCTAAATTAATTATAATATCCTTAATCCTAAAAGACTTACTTAAAATTAAACACTAAAACAAATTAACAAAAAATGAACAAAATTAACAATTGATTGATGGTTCCAAGAACTCCTATACATGACTACTCTAAACTATTCATAACATCCTTAATCTTAAAAATCATATTAAAAAATTAACATTA